CCCCAGCCCCCTCCTGCAGGGATGGCCTCTGTGAGCTCATTCACTCAGAGAGGTTGGGTTCAGTGTGTGACATATTAGAAAGAGCACTGGACTGGGAGTCTGGAGGATCTGGGTTCAAATCCTACCTCAAACTTTATTAGCTCTGGGACTCTGGGCAGGTCATGTCACCTCTCTGCCTCAGTTTCCTCATCTGTAAAATGAGGAGGTTGGGTGTGATGGCCTCAAAGACCCTGTCCAACTCTTGGTCTCAGGTCCTATATTCTTCCTTTGAGAGTTTAGAGGTTAAAAGAGGAGCAGATACTTTGTAACCTCACTATTCCCCTGGGAGCACAGCCTCAGTGGAATGCAATCTCTTTGAAGGCAGGGATTGGATCATATTTAAACTTTTGGATCATTGGGTAAATCTTTGTTGAGATCAATTGAAGCTCCAATGAGGCTTGTAAATGGGAAAAGTCCTGTGAGAGGGGCACTGCTCCTCTGCTGGCCCACTCTGCCTTTGGGAGAGGCCAAGCCAGCCCCCCACGCCCCACTTTCCCCAAGGATTCAGATTGCAAGAGATGTTTGTAAAACACTTTGCAAGCCTTAGGTCTGTAAATGTGCGTTAGTATCCTTTCTGAGTCAGATGCAATAGCACACCCCCCATGCACATCTCTGGATCCCCCTTCTTTCTGTCCCCAGAATTTACAAAGTTGAAAACATTAGCTTATTCTAGGTTAGTGAGTCTTACAATAGTCCTGTGAGGTAGATTATCCCCACTTTACTGTGAGGAAGCTAAGTTCAGTGACTTACCCAAGGTCAAACAGTGAGTCAAATCTCTGAGGTGGGATGAAAGGGGGTGATCTTAAGGGGACGGGATGACATGGTCTGCTAAATAGTTTCTTTAGGGTGTTTGTAGACAATGGGAAGGAGAGATGGAAGAGAGAGGGGTTGAGCTCGAGGGAAGGAGTCTGCCTTGGCAGGAAGGGCTCCCTCCTCCTTTGAGAGCCTGGACAGAGGCGTTGCCACTCGGAGGGAAGATACTGGTGCTCATTGCAAATGACCTCGGTCCTGTCAGGAAGAGAGAAGGCTGGAGAGTGGCTGCAAAATGGAAGGGCTTGGTGTGCTGACTGACACAAGGACCCTAACTAACCCCTGTCCCGTCCAAAGCCCTGCAGAACCTGCCCCTTTGCCCTTTCCAGTCTTCTCACACCTTAGTCGCCACACGTCCCCTTCGATCCAGGAACCTGGCCTTCATCTCTCGCCTCTGGGCATCTCTCTGGCTGTCCCACCCAGGCCTGGAAGGCTCTCCCTCCTCCACTCCACCTACTGACCTTCCCGACTTCCTTTAAGTGCCAACTAAAATCCCTTCTCCTACTGGAAGCCTTACCTGGCCCCTCAATTCTGGTGCCTTCTCTCTGCCAATTCATTGCCAATTGTCCTGTTATAGTTTGTTCGTATGTATTTATTTGCTTATTCTCTCTCCCATCAGAATGGGAGTTCCTTGAGGGCAGGGACCATCTTTTGCCTCTTTTTTGTATCCCCAGTGCTTAGCACAGGGCCTGGCACATAATAGGTGCTTAATAAATGTTTGTTGACCGTCTGATTGACAGAATGATCCTGAAATATATCACCACTTAGAGGAGACGTGGTGGACTAGGGGCGAAGAATAAGGCATACATTTCCAAGGGTGGCGAATGCATGGATTTGTTTTGCTTACCTATGTTTGTTATAAGAGAGGGCTTTTATTGGGATGGGGAGTCAGGAGTTAGGGTGGAGGGGTAACAGTAGTGATAAAAAGGAAAAAGCAGGAAAGGACATCAAAGAAACATTTAAAAACTACAGAAGAGAGTTGATGGAGATTTAGAGAGGGACAGGGGCAGGTAGGGTGGGGCCTGCGGTGTGGAATACAGCACTGGGTTTTAATGTAGCGACGTACAAGATTATATAACAATTCTATATGTAATTCTATATTAATAATTTAAATTTGTTTACTATATAATTTTAAAATGAGTTTGTGTGTAATAGTCATCGTTACATACACAAGCCTCTTTTTCTATTCTTTGCGTATGGAAATGTTTGTGTGTGTTAGTATTTGCCAAGTATATCATAAAAAAAGTTTAGTGGGAAGCCAGGTCGTCTGCTGAGAGGGAGGGAGGCTGGGCTCAGAGCTGGGGTGAGCTCACAGAGAAATCAATCAGAGAAATCAAAGATTCCGCCGCAGGTGTGAAGGCACAGCTGACTTTACAGGGCACGGGTGAATCTCACCAGCTCCCCAGACTGTGCTTGGCAGCTTGGGAGTCACAGTAGAGAAGGCCAACGGCTGGGACCTCGGAGTGGGGAGGGGACCTCGGAGGGGGGAGGGGACCTCGGAGGGGGGAGGGGACCTCAGAGGGGGGACGGGACCTCAGCCTGAGGATTGGCCGGGCAGGAACAATGGAAGGACGAGGAGGCCACTCCAGGGTGGGTGACCCTTCAGCGCTGAAGTGGCCAGCAGCAGGACCAAGGCAGAAGTGGAGTCAGAGCAGGGAGAAAATATACTGGGGCTGGGGGGGGGGCCGGGGAGACTTGGGGTCTGCCAGTCTTGATGCAAGGTGTTGAGAGCAGGTACTGGAGGAGTGGAGGAGGGGAAAAGTGGGAGGGATGGAAGGACTGGAAATTGGGCTCTGAGGAGGAAAGCTAGTCAGCCTCTGGCTAGGGCAGCAGGTGTGGCCATCCTCAGAGGTGACTGTGGGAGCGGGGATGGAGGTCATGGGAACAGAAGAGGTGTTTGAAGTGATAGGAACGTGAATAATGAGGTTACTAAAGGTGTGAGCAGGGGCTGGGAGAGAGAGAAAGGCTGCTGCCGCTGCTCAGTCCTGTCTGACTCTTCCTGACCTCATTGGGGGTTTTCTTAGCAGAGATGCTAGAGTGGTTTGCCATTTCCTTCTCCAGCTCTGTTTACAGATGAGGAAACTGAGGCAAAGAGGGTGAAGTGACTTGTGTAGGACATTCACAACTAGGGAGTCTCTGAGGCCAGATTGGAACTCAGGAAGACAGTCTTCCTGACTCCGGGCCTAGTGTTCCTTCCACTGAGCCACCTGGCCGCCCTGAGAGAAGCCTGCTCAGATACTGCCACTCCCTTGAGGAATTAGTGAGGATGAGTGACCTGAAGGCAGACACACGACCAGAGACAAAAATACAGACAGTAACAGAATCAAGTGCCTGGAATTTATGCAGAGAGTGATGAGGCGGGCTGGATGGGCGTGATCGTAGGGAGCGGTGTCTCCTCCTGGCCCCACGGCGGGAAAGGATTGGGAGAGGAGAGAAGGAGGTGAAAGATGGGGTGTCTTCATGGGAAAGTTGGCCGTCAGAAACTAGAAGAGATGGAAGGACTGTAGGAGGAAAGTTCAAGGAGGGAGGGTGGGGAATCTCTCTCGAACACACACACACACACACACACACACACTCATACATGCTCACATGCATACTCATACATACACTCACTCACACATGCTCACACACATTTACCTACACATACACACACGCTCACATGCTCACACTCACACATACACACACGCATGCTGTCTCAGGTCCTCGGGTACCAAATGTAGGGCTCCTTTCACTTCCCCTCCCTGAATACTCCCTCCACCCTTTGCTTCATAGCAGTCAGAAATCCTCCTTGTGAAGAAACCTAGCTCAGGCCACCTGCTCTGAAGTCTAGAGTCTGAAGTCTAAGCCTTTTGCTCTTGAGTCACTTTCAGATTTCTCTGCTCAGCCTTCGTGCACCTTCCTTGTCCTATGACACCTTACCTTTCCAATCTTAATTGACATTATTCCCCTTCAGGTCTTCCACGCTCCAACCAAACAGTATGATACACCATTCTTGGGACACACTCCATACTTTCCTGCCTCCATACCTTTACTTATGCTGTTCCTGATGTCTGGAATAATGTCTTCCTCCTTCTTTACCTGTTAAATCCCTCCCCATCCCTTGAAGCTCCATTCAGACAGCAGACAGCCTCTTCTGACACCTCTTCCTAGTGGGTAACAAATCTTCCCTCTCAGATCATACAAAATGCTTTGTACCTCTCTGGTGCATTTAGCAATACTTTATGTTGGAATGTTATGTGTATGCATTTGCATGTGCATGTGTGTGTATATGTGCATGCATGTGTGTGTAATGGCTCCCTACCAGACCATAAGCCCCATGAGGGCAGGGGGCCTGGCTTGTCCAGACTTTGAATATATATCCTGCACAAACACGTGGTATTTATTGCATGTTTGTTGTATTCAATAGAATCGAAAGAGATAGAAATGTCTGAAGAAGGAACAGGTTTGCAGAGAATGTGAACAGAATGAGCTTTGGACATGCTAAGTGTGAACTGCTGTTAGCAACTCTGAGGAGAACTCTCCTAACGTCAGACAGAAATCCAGGGTGGGGCTGAAGAAGAGGGTCCGACCTAGGGGGTCTGGCACTCGTGTGCATGTAGGGGAGAGGCAGAGTGGGCGCCCAAGCAGCCAGAGTGCCAGCTGCCTCCCGAGTCAGAAGCCCTGGGCTGAGTCTGCCTCTGACAATCCCCCCTCCCATTATCTCCCACCCCCACCCCGTGACTCTGGCCAGCTCACTTTACCTCTTGGTTATTGATTCACATTGGTGGAGGGTGGTCTCTATGGATTTAGGTGCAGACCCTTCACAGAAAGCCCTAACGAGAGATCACAGTTGAAGCCTGGAGGGTGTGCAAGGATATCAAGGGAGAGTAGTGAGATGACCATGGAAGGCCATAGAGAAAACTCTGGAGAGCACCAGTGCTGAGGGCTGGGGAGCCCAAGTACAGCTGGGAGATGGAGGCTTGACCAGGAAGCTAGATCTAGCTGTCATCTATGGGGGGGTGGTGCAGGACGTGGGGAGTAAGGAGCAGAGGGCTGGGGCCAGCACAGGGGGAGGTGCTGAGGTGGGACAGTGACGTCCACGGAGGGAGGTGGAAGCACCAGGCAAGGAGACCGTGTGCTAACCCTGCCCTCGATTCCCTCCCCCACCCCAGGCCTACAGGATGATGGGGACTTGAAATTCCTGCTGAAAGGCTCCCAGCTCCAGAAAGTCAAGTCCAGCTCATGGCGGAAAGACAGATTCTACAAGCTACAGGAAGACTGCAAGACGATCTGGCAGGAGTCGAAGAAGATGATGCGCTCTCCGGAGTCCCAGCTCTGTGAGTTGAGATGGGCTCAGCTGGGCTAATCAAGAGTGTCTTTGCTGGGCACAGCACATCAGGGCTGGGCAGGGCAGGGCCAGTCAGGGCAGGACTAGACTGAACTGGCTGACCTGGGTCGGAGAGCAGGCTTTCTCTTGGGGGCTCTACCAGATCGACCCTGCTTGCTTATCTTGGGGGATCTGTCAGGTTGCCTGTGGAATCTTTGCCACAGGAGGGGCCTGGGCTGAGCACTGGGGGAGATGAAGAGAGAGAAGAGGGCAGACAACTCTGGGGGAATGAGAAACCCGGCTTCTGCCCGCTGAACTGTAGCTGATGGGAAAGGGATAGTCAAAAGGAGGGAAGAAGGTAGAGCGTCCAAACCACAAGCCATCACTGAGTATCACTTGGCTTCTGGCGCATTCCAGAATGTATATTATTCAAGGAATGGCACTGCGCAAGACGAGTTATGATCACTGGGCACCAGGTCGGGTCCAGCCATCATAGAGCTCTGACCCCAGCCCCAGTAGCTGTGCCATTTCCCCCATCGCCAGCTGCCTTCTACCTACTCTGCCTTTATCTCAGGTGCTCTGTTTTAGCCTCTAAGCTGCTTGAGGGCAGGGACTTTTCCTTTGTATCCCCAGTGCCTGGCACACAGCAAGTCCTAGGTGAATGCTTGATGATTGATCAAAAACAGCTGCTACCGGCTCATCTCATTTCCTTTCTGGGGGACACAGCCCCGTCGTGTCAAGGTCCAGAAGCAGTGGGGGGGGGTTCAGCAGAACTGATGGAGTCTCATAGTCCCTGGAAGGAGGTGAACTGCACCTGCATGAAAGGCTAGTTGAAGGAGTTTGGAGCTAGCTGAAAGGAACCCCCAAAGTGGTGATTGCAGAGCCAGCGTCAGTCTGGGGAGAAGCCCTTTGTAGAATGGCGCCTGGGGTTCAGGAATTCAGGTCGAGAACTGGAAGAGATTTGGGGGGGCCATTGAGGACAACCCCCCTTTATATAGATAGGAAACTGAGGCTGAGAGAGGTCATGAGGTCATGGAGTTAGTGCTGGAATGGACCTGGGGGATGGCCATCTACTGCAATTTTTACAGAAAAGGAAACTGAGGCTCTGAAAGGTCATTGGATCATGGAGTCCAAACTGAACAAGGCTGTAGGGGCCATTTAGGTCACTTCCTTCACGGAACGATGGCACTTGTCCAGGTCAGAGTGGCAGAGCTGGGATTGCAACCTCTGGAATCCCTGGGTCCTCTGAAGTCCCCCTTCACCTGCCTGTGTCCCAAGCCCTGGAGACATTTGTCTCCTCCTTCCTGCAGGGCTTGGCTCTGAGGGTGGAGAAGACATAGTTCTCGGAACCCACTGCCACCTCCTGATCAGCCCTACCCAGCTAGGACCCACCCTGTGTACCAAGGGCTAGGCAGAATCAGCAGGGCAATGTACCCTGGTAGTGACAGAAAGCTGGGTGGTGGAATGTGGAGAGAAGAGTCATAGAATATGGAACCCTGGGCCACAGAAGGTGTGGCTCTGAGGCCAGGGGTGCTGGCTTACAGCCCATACTAAATTGGGCAAAAGGACAAGAATGAAGCTTGGCAGCTAGGTGCAGGTTGGGAAGCAAGTGTGAGTCCCAGAGTCCTGGGGTTTCTGGCTCACTAAGCAGGGGTGTGAGATTAAGGTGGAGCCTGCCAGTTGGGAGGGGGCAGGTCAGGGGGTAGCATGGGGTGGGAGGAGATGCAGAGGGCCGTCTGTCCTCTCCCTCCTCTAGTCCACCCCCCATACATGGACATAAATCCAGACAGATACTGACACAGGTCAGGAAGGAAAAGCTGACTGGCTTCCTACTTGTACAGGTGCATAGGTGGAGAGCCCCAGGCCTGGCGAGCTGGCCCCTCCCAGAGGGCCCCTGCCACCCCTAATCTTCTAATACCTGGGGCAGCTTCAGAGACATCATCGCTCAGAAATAACCCAGGCATGGCCATGTGGTCTTGGTCCCAAGGCCTTACCTTCCTCACTGCCAGATCAGGCTCCCCTTTCCTGCCCCCTCCCCTGCCAGTTTGAGGCTCTCCTGTATAGGGTCTATAGAGAGAACAGGGAGTGCCTTGGTAATTTGATCTGAGCAATGGGCTTCAGACCCTGGCCTGGCTGCAATTAGGCCCTTGGCCCTCGCCAAAGCTGGGAGCTCTCAGAGAGATTCAGTGGGGGATTCAGGAATTAGGCAAAGGAAGGTGGAGGAGGGGCAGGGCTGCCTCCCTGAGCCCCAAGTCATGGTGGGGTGGGCAGAAAAACTGCAGAGAAAAAAAATCAGAATTGGAGGGAGGCCCTGCAGTCCTGAGAGCGCTCTCGTTTATAGCCCTGTAAAGCTGAACACACGCTTTCAAGTTTAATGTGTCGCTCCCGGGAGAGTTTGAAAATGGAAGGAGGCTTATGGGTGTGGGTGAGAAGTCCACTCCCGGGACACTCATGGCAGCCTGTTTTATGTTGGGTTGCCTGGATCAAGGGAGGGGTCCCTGCAAGGCTAAAAGTCAGTGATCCCGGGATCCTCTACCTTCACGCAGAAAAGACCTTGGAGATCGCGGCCTCCTCGACCTAGACCTGAGAGAGACCTCAGAGCCCGTCTCATCCTACCCCCCATTTTATAGATGAGGAAACTGAGGCCCAGAGGAGCAGCCTGCCCTGCTACAGTTCATTCACTCGTTCCCGTGCTGACTGAATAATACCGTGGGGGTGGGGTGCAGAGAGCCCTAGACTCACTCAGCTCTGGGCATTCCGAAGATCTGCCCTGGCCCCTGGGGAGCGGAAGGCGCCAAGAGCAGCTCCCATTTATCCAGGGCTTGTAGACTTCCGAGGACTTTCCCAGATAGGGTCTCTTCTGATCCATGTAGCAGTCCTGTGAAGTTGGTCATGGAGGTGTTGTTATCTCCATTTCATAGATGAGGAAACTGAGGCTCAGAGACAGGCAGTGACTTTCCCAAGGTCAAACAGCAAGGACTCCAGCTTGGGTCTCTGATTTTGCCCCCTCGTGTCTCTGAAACGCTGTCCATTTCTGGGTCTGTCGTCTCCAGCGCCATAAAGGCTTGGGGAGTTCCTTTTCATTTGGAGCTGAGCTGAGCTAAGGCACAGAGTAGGGGTGCTGGCATCACCTGCCTTCCACCCAAAGCTCTTTCCCTAATCACAATGCATTCTGGGAGCATAGCAAGCAAATAAGCAGGAAAGCCATCCTCCCCTCCAGGGAAGGGGAGTGGGAGCAGGGGGACAGGGCAGGCCTCAGCCAGGTGAGCACAGATGTGGCCTCCACAGGCCGGGAAGGCCGAGGCCAGAGGTACCCAGGGCACAGAACAGGAGCTCAGAAGGCAGACACAGACAGTGGACAGACCACCCAACCCTGTTTCCCAAGGGGCATGAGTTCAATTTCTGGTCAAGAAAGGCAAGTGCTACTTCATGCAATAGGGAGTTCATATTTAGGGATACACACAGATGAATATATGATAATTGCATTCTTACAGCACTTTACATATAACAACTCGTATATATGCATAGATATGATTATTGTCATTTCAGTTATGCCCGACTCTTCCTGACCCTGTTTGGGATTTCCTTGGCATAGCTACTGGAAGGGTTTGCCATTTCTTCTCCAGCTCATTTTACATATGAGGAAACTGAGGCCCAGGCAGGGGAAGCCAGTGACTTAGAGGAGTCCGTACTCTGAACAATACTGGATCCCTCCTGTGAGAGGCTGGGGGGATGGGGCCCCTCTTCCTGACCTTCCTCGCCTCACCACATTCACGTCCTATTATTTCGGGGCCCCCTGCTCTCTCGTTGGGTGCCCATGGGTGCACAATTCACCCTGGCTGAGTTTCAGAACACCCACCCGCAGCGGGGCCACAACCCCTCTTTCTGCAGACAGAGAGCTGGGAGCGTGGTTGGTCTGTGAGTTCCCAGTTCCATGAATAGGAAAAGGGGAGATTAGAGGCAGAGGATGCCTCGCCAGCCCCTTAGTTTATCTCCTTCCCTTCTTCCCCTCCAGACTCACGGCCTTTCGGTTTCCAGAGACAAAGGAAGGCCTTATCGCTTTGCCTGAGAAAACAGGGGCGTCTGGATGCTCTCTGTGCGGGTGGGAGTGGGGGAGGGCCCAGAAAGGGGGCTGCCAACAGGACAAAGCCAGTTTTGTGGGTAGGGAGAGACCCTACTTCTTCCTCCCTGGGAAATAGAAGTGCCTTGGGTGGGGATTGGGACCCAGGCCCTGGCACTGGGGGTATAGAAGAGGGCTCTGGGGCATGTCCTCACTCCCAGAGTGGTAGGTCCTTCAGAAATTCTCAGATTAGGACTCAGGACCTGGGTTCAAACCTTCCTCCTGCTTTATAAACGGCCAGTGAATTTCTTCACCTCCACGAACCCCATAGGTAAACTGAGTCCCAGATTGGGGGAACAATGTGTCCATGGTCACCAAGTAACCTGTGAAACCAGGTGTTGGACAAGGTGATTTCTAAGGTCTCTTCCGGTGCTAAAGCCCATGAGCCCTGACATCCATGCTGGCTCTGTCCCGCCTCTGGCACATGAGCTTTGCAGGTGGGACCCACCCTGTCTCAGGCTATCAGAAAATGGGGGAGAAATGAGGTCCAATTGGCAGGGCCCTCCATCCCCAGTGAAACCCCCTTTTTGGTGATCCCTACATTCTCACTTCCAAGCAGCGTAGCACTTGACCAAGGACCCTGTAAGACCCCTAAGGAAATACAAGCTGCCCCCTGGAAGTAGGGAAGCAAGGAGATGCCCCACAGAAGACAGGAGAGGTCCCGGGCACGGCAGCCAACCCCCTGCAGTCTCCTCAGAGCCTGAGCTGCCATCTCCTGTATGGAAAGGGGACGGAGATGAGCGCTCATTCATTTATTTATTTATTTATTTTGCTTAGGCGATTGGGGTTAAGTGACTTGCCCAGGGTCACACAGCTAGTAAGTGTCAAGTGTTTGGTCTGAGGCCGGATCTGAACTCAGGTCCTCCTGACTTCAGGGCCGGTGCTCTGTCCACTGCACCACCTAGCTGCCCCTAGATGCGTGCTCATTAAGCACCTACTATGCGCCAGGCTCTGTGTTCAGTGCTTTACAATATCTCATCGGATCTTATTTTCATGTGCTGCCCTGAAGTCTCACATGAATTGGATAAGTCCAGAGCCACAGCTAGGCCCCTCTGACTAACACCCATCTAGGAAATGGAGCCTAATTAGTAGGAATTTGTTAGATTTGGAGTTGGAAGACCTGCTAGTGACTTCTGAAAGACTGAGTGTTATAGGACTGGAGAAGGGCAAACGTCCTAGTTCTAAACCAAAAAAGGAAGTAGGTGACTTTGTCATTGATTGCTCCCAACATTCTAGCCTGAGTCATTAAAAGGATAGCTGTGGCTCTGGACTTATCCAATTCATGTGAGACTTCAAGGCAGCACGCGAAAATAAGATCCAATGAGGCTGCCTTAAGAGAAGCAGGAGGTAAAGGGCTCAGGAGGTGAGAGTTGCGCTGTCCTCTGCCCTGCTGAGGTCCCCTCTGAAAGTCCTATGATCGGTTCTGGGCACCATATTTTAGGAAGGAAATTGGTGACCCCTGGAGGGATTAAATTCAATTAAACAAGAATTTATTAAGTACTTACTACATGTAACAGGCTCATTGTGGTTCAGGGAACAGAGCACTGACGAGTCAGAAGAGCTGTGTTTAAATCCCACCTTGGATGCATAACTGGTATGACCTGAGACAAGTCACTTTTCCTGCCTGGGCCTCAGTTTCCTCCTCTGTAAAATGAGAGGGTTGAACTTGATGGCATCAGAGGGCTAGAATCCTGCCGTCCTATGATGGGGCCTCATAGAAGGGGATGGAGGGACCATGAGGCAGAGGGCCCAGAGCAGGAGCCAGCATCCCTCAGGGCTGTCCTTGCCCCAGGGACATGGGCTTCCTCATCCCCAGACACTCCTGGAGGGCTGGACTGACCCTGCTGGTCCAGCAGTGGTCCCAGCCGTCCTCTGATGTGGCCTTTCCAGCTCTGGTGGAGATAGGCAGTTAGAGGGAGTGCTGTCTGCGCCTGGGAGGCCAGTGCCACTGTTTGGAAGAGAAGACTGGAAGGGTGGAGGGCGAGGAAGGGAGTTTATGAGGGGCTTTGAACACTAAGCAGAGGATCCTGGAGGTGATAGGGAGCCACTGGGGTTTATTGAGTAGGGGGTGACATGGGCAGTGCCTTGCTTTAGGGAGATCACTTTGGCAGCTAAGTGGAGGATGGGCTGGAGAGGGGAGAGAGACTTGTGATGGGCAGAGCCCAGCAGCGATTGCAGTGGTCCAGGCGTGAAGTGAGGAGGGCTGTACCAGAGTGGGGGTAGTAGCAGAGGAGAGAAGGGGGTATGTACAAGAGAGGTAAAGATGAAGGTAAAATTAGCAGCCTTTGGCAACAGATTGGATTGGGGGGCGGGGATGTGAGAGTCAAAGGTGGTGCTTGGGTTGGGAGTCTGGGTGACTGGGAGGGTATTGGTCCCTTCCACAGTAATAGGGATGTTAGGAAGAAGGGAGAGTTTGGGGGGAAAGATAAGGAGTTCAAGACATCCAGGTTGAGATTCAAAGAGAGGTTAGGGCTGGATATGCAGGTTTGAGAAGGTGATTGAATCACAGGGGGCTGAGGAGATCACCTCGTGGTAGAATCAGTCCTAGACATGTATTTATTAAGCACCTATTGTGTACTGTCAGGGTGCTAGGTGCTGGGCATACACATCTCTGCCCTGGGGGTTAAATTCTTATTTGTTTGTTTTTTGTTTGTTTGTTTTTTTGCTAGGCAATGGGATTAAGTGACTTGCCCAGGGTCACACAGCTATTGGGTTCCATTCTTTTAGGGGAGACTCCTCCCAGTGAGCTCCAAGGACACCTGGCATGAGGGGAGGGGAGGGCATTGTCTGGGCAGGAGGGCAGCTCAGTGACAGGCAAAGGGTTCCTTAGCTGGGAGAGATGCCTGCCCTCCATAGGAGCTGGATTCACTGATCGTCTGACCATTACTGGCAGAAACTGAGGGTGCAGACCCTGATGACTGTCATTGGGCATATCTGTGAAGTTCTCTTCTAACTAAGCCCTCCAGCCTCTTTTCTTGGGGCTGAGATAATTGCCCCCTTTATGGATGCAGAAACTGAGGCCGACTCCTGTCTGACCAAACCATGTGACCCCCCAGCTTCCACTTGGCTTTCAGGACTGGGCCCTCCAGGCCACCTTTGGGGCTCTTGACTGCCTGCCTTAGATACATAGTTGCACAAAGAGCGGATGCGATGCATCTATTTCCAGCTCTCTTACCTAGTTCAATGCTGGAGTGTACCCCGAAGTTAAGGTCAGGGGTTTGCTTCCTCCGCTCCGTGCTGCCGTTCTCATAGGCAAGGCCCGACACCAGCACAGGGGCACTGCACTGGCAGATGTCTGGGCACTGTGTTCAGCCCTCCCCTCTGCTGTGGGCTCAGCTCAGGGTCTATTGATGGACGCCTGGGAGCAACCTCTACAAACAGAGGGCACTTTGTGTAGGAGGGCCATCTGGTTCCCTTTTGTCCTGGCTCGGGCCTTCTCTCTTCCCCACCCAGAACCTGGGGAAGCTGGGATTGTGCAGCCTCCCAAGGATTGTTCAGACCGGATTTCTGGGCTGGGCTTTGATCTCACCCTCTCTAGGACATCAGGGCTGTGAGCAGAGAGATCCCTCTGTTCGGCATGGGCAAGAGGAGAGGAACAGGGCTCTGGGGAGCAAGAGCTCTGAGGACCTGGGGGGAGCCTCTGGGGGGGGGGGGGGGGGCGCCGGGGGGGGGGCCTGGGGGGGGGGGGGGGGGCGCCTTGGGGGGAGTGCCTGGGGATTCCAATTTCTCCCTCTGCCTCTGTCCCCTTCCCTCCTCTGGTCTCCAGTTTCCATCGAAGACATCCAGGAGGTGAGGCGGGGCCACCAGACTGAGGGCATGGAGAAGTTTGCCCGGGATGCCCCCGAGCACCGGTGTTTCTCCATCATCTTCAAGGGTCAGAGAAGCAACCTGGACCTCATTGCAGGGTCAGAGGCAGAAGCGCAGCACTGGGTGGATGGTCTTCGCAAGATCATCTTGCATGCAGACTCCATGAGCCAGAAACAGAAACTCCAGCAGTATCCTCTTGGCTGAGGGGCCACCTCCCGAGAGAAGGGGGAGAGGCTGAGGGAAGGCCCAGGGACACCATTGCTACACGTGGCATCCTCCTGTCCCCAGTCCCCATTTCGGAGAAGGGTCTGGCCCAGGGGTTGAAAGATAAGACCTGATGGGCAGGGATGTCCGCAGGGGGCACGGGGAGGATGTTGGCCTAGAAATGGCAAAGGAATAAACGAGGTCCATACAAATCTTATGCAGATCCATTAAAATGGAACCCCTGAGAATTAAAACCGCCAGTCAATCCTGGGTGGTCCCCTCTGAGCACTCTCATGGGCCTTTGCAGTTGCCTTCCTGTCCCCTCAGCCCTTGGCTGACTGAGCCAGTGGGGTAAGAGGGAGGCGCAGTGAAAAGAGGGAGACCCTGGAAAAGGACGGCCTGTGTCCAGATGTGCAGGACATTAGGTTAGGTAGAGAAACAAAGAGGCTGGCAGTGGAGATCTGCCCCTCCCCCAGAGCATCAGGCTCAGTAAACACTGCCAGTCACAAACAGCAGGTACCGAGGGCAAGCCAGGGCCAGCAGTAGGACAGGGCCCATTCGGGTCCAGCTGTGCTGAAGGGGACATTCCCCAGCAGGGCTTTATCTACAACAAGGGACACAGAGGCACAGAAAGCCACCTCTGACAGCCTAGCTGTGCGGTGGCAGGGAGACAGGATAGCCCACTTCTAGCCGGCTGTACAAATAGTTTGGGGAGGTTCCGGGATTTCAGTGGACCTCCGAGCTGACCTAAGTGAGCGCTGCAGCACATGCTTGTTCACAGGGCCATCAGCCACTCGTCCAACCCGGGGTCATGCAGCTGACAAGCAGTGCTCCAGCCTGGCCCTCTGCTCTGCTGGCCTTTGCTCAGACACCTCCAGGCAGAGGCTCCCATCACCTCCTTAGGGCAGCCCATTCTGTTCAGGGAGAATTCTCCTCCTTAGGAAATCTTTCCAGACATTAGTCCTAAATCTGTGTGTCCCGCCTTCCATACACGCCCTTCTCCTGGCTCTGTCCTTGGGGGCCAAATGGGAAGCATCTATTGGCTCTTCAGAGGGTCACTTGAACACAGCTTGGGTCTTATCTACTTATTTACCCAGTTCCCTCACAGGCCCACAGCCTGACACCAGACCTCTCCCCAGGGGGGCCCACAGGGAGCGCAGGAAACCTACAGTCCCCAATCCTCCCCTTCAAGGAGAGGTCCTTACGCTCTACAAACCCAGGGCCCACCCGCTTCCTGGTCACCCTCCTCTGGCCAGTCACTTCCTTCTCCTTAACCACGGTGTCTACACCCAAACATCATAGTCTAGATAATGATGAGACCAGAGCAGAGTGCCCAGGGATTATCACTTGCAGCCTCACCGACAAGGTCCCATTGAGCTGCCAACCCACGTTTGGTTAACAGCCCACTAAGACCTCAAGATCTTTTTTTCAGACTGACTGCTATCTTAACCAGGTTTCCTTCCTTCTTGTGTAGTTGACTGTTTGAACCCAAGTGTAAAACTTTACATTTCTCCTTATGAACTCCATCTCGTTAGAGTTAGTCCGGTGCTCCAGGCTGGCAAGACCTCTGGGTTCTCATTCTGTCATCTGTGGTATAGCTTTCTCCCTGTTCTGTGTGTCATAAACAAATTTGATGAGTAGACATCTGTGCCTTTATCTAGGTCATTGATAGAAATGTGAAAGTGCACAGGCCTAGCGTACAGCCCTGGGCACTCTGCTGGAGACCTCTTTCCAAGCTGACATCAAGGCAATGATGACTACTTGTTGAGTATGGCTGGCCATTCAGCCAGTTGTGACTCTAACTGTACTATTATCTTGTCCACAACTTTCCATCCAGACATCAAGGTGGTGCAGTAGACAGAGTGCTGGTCCTAGTGTGAGGAAGACTTGAGTTCAATTCCAACCTGGGACACTAGCTAGCTATGTGACCTCGGCAGATCGCTTAACTTCCCTCTGCCTCGGTTTCCCCAACTGTAAAATGGGGATAATAATAGCACCTACTTCCCAGGGTTGTTGTGAGGATCAAATGAGGTAATTGTAAAGCACTTGGCACAGTGCCAGGCATCTAGTAGCTGCTGTATAAATGCTCACTATTGTTATCTTCACCACAAGAATAATAGCAGACACTTTAGGAAACCTTTTGCTAAAATCGAGGTAAACCAGAGCCTTCCCCTTCATCTACCAGTTTAGTTTCCTGGGCTTTCCTGGCCCTTTGGAATCACCGCTTTCCTGCCTTGATGTTGGACGGCCACCTTTTTAATGATTCCTTCTAGGTATTAGGTAAGAATATTCTCAGGAGTCAAAGGCAGCTTCGCTGGCTTACAGCTGGCAGATTCTTTTCTCTTGCCTCTTTGAAAATGGCCATTTGCAAGGCCTTGTGTCTGGGTGTTCCAAGCACCTCCTCTGCCCCCACTCCCCATTTAAGTGAGCCTCCCCCCAAGGTCTTGTCTGTCTGTCTGTCTCCCTCCCTTCCTCCTTCTCTCTTTCCTCCCCCTCCCTCCCTCCCTCCTTCCTTCTCTCTCTTATCCTCCCTCCTCTCTTCATCTTTTCTTTTCATCTCTCTGTCTCTCTCTGTCACACACACACACACACACACACACACACACACACACTCACTCACTCTTCCTGGGTCCCAGGGCACATGTAAGCTAAGAGAGGTGATGACAGGTTCAGAGATGTCAAGCTAGGAGGGCCCTTGGGGATCAGATGAGGGGTCTAAGGCCCCAGGAAGCTGCCGAGCTTCCTCAAGGTCGCCTTGAAATGTTGAGCCAGGGCTCAGGCCCAGACCTCTTGATACAGTGTTCAGAGCCCTTTCTCCTGCTCTCCTTACATCTGGCCGCAGCTGGATTCACTCATGTCTTCGGAAGGCAGACAAGAACAAAGATAACAAGATGAGCTTCAAGGAGCTGAAGAGTTTCCTGAAGGAAGTAAACATCCAGATGGACGACAGCTATGCCTGGAAGATCTTCCAGGTGAGACAGGAGCGCTTCCGATTGGGTCCTGAGGCTTTTCCTGTCGATGGACGGTCGTGGTCTCATGGAGTGACCCAGCAGGCGGGGGTGGAGGGGGAGGGTGCTCAGACATAGCCCCGTGCATCCTTTCCCCACACGAAACCAAGCCAATCAGAAATGCATTTCATCCTCAGAAGTTTATAAAGCACCTACTATGTGCCAGACACTGGGGATACAGAGACAAAATAATAATATAATAATAACAACAAAACCAGCTCTTGCCCTTGAGAAGCTTATATCATAGCAGGGAGAGCCCATGTACCTAATGCAGGTTCATAAATACCAAGTGTATACAGAATAATAAAAGGTTATTCCCAGAGGGCCAGAGCACCAGGAAATGCTGTACCTGGGCTGGTCTATAAATAGTTCCCTCCCCTAGTTTTCAGTCCCAGATAATACTTGGGATGAGGGAGTCCCCATTCTGTCTGACGACTCAGTCCATGAAACTTGGTTTGGGGTCCTGGTGGTCTGGGCTGTCTTGCAGCTTACCACGTCCTCACCATCCCCACAGACCACAGGCTGGGGGGTGGGGTACAGGGGGACTGGCTCTATGCCAGGCTGGGTGGAGCAGCCTGAGTCTCGTAGCCCATGAACTCCCAGCTCCTGGAGGCTCAGAGCCAGGCCTCAACCTTGCAGGAATGTGACAAATCCCGGACAGAGTCCTTAGAGGATGATGAAATCGAGACGTTTTACCTGATGCTAACCCAGCGGGAAGAGATTGATCGGCTCTTTAGGGTCATCTCAGGCTCCGGGAAGACCCTGTCAGTGGACCAGTTGGTGACCTTCCTACAGCAGGAACAGAAGGAAGAGGAGGCCGGTCACCAGCTGGCCCTGGCCCTCATTCAGAGATATGAGCCCAATGAGGCTGGTGAGTGTGGGAGGGACTAGGAGACAGAGGTGCGCTCTGATCCCCAACTCCGTCATCTAGGGGTTTGCATGTTCTTTTTGCTTGGAACCACGGAGCCCCCAATGACTTTATTGAGATCCTTTCACCTCACCTCATTTTCCAGAAGTGGGATGTGAAGCCCAGAGAAAAATGACTGCCCCGTCAGACAGTGATCTTGAGACACACACACTCACCCCCTTTCCCCCCCATGATGGCTGCAGAAGGGAAATGGCTTCTTTAAGGCCAGGCAGGGAGGGAGGCCAAGTTGGGCTTCTGGACTAGATTCTGGGAGGAGGCTTGAGCTGGGCGCTGCCTGATTGCTCTCTGGGGCTGGGGGTGGGGGGCGTGCCCTCCTGCAGCCAAGCAGAAGAAGCAGATGACCAAGGACGGCTTCCTCATGTACTTGTTATCTGCCGATGGGAACGCCTTCAGCCTGGCCCATCGGAAAGTCTACCAGGACATGAACCAGCCACTTAGCCACTACCTCATCTCCTCCTCCCATAACACCTACTTGATGGAGGACCAGCTCACCGGGCCAAGCAGCACGGAGGCCTACATCCGGTATGAGCCTAGGGGAGGCGGGAGGGGGGCTGCCACCCAGAGGCTCTTGGAGCTACTGGCCCTGGCAGAGGCATAGAGTGGGCCCACAGCCTGACACCAGGCCTCTCCCCAGGGGGGCCCACAGGGAGCGCAGGAAACCTACAGTCCCCAATCCTCCCCTTCAAATGTCCCCAGGGCATTGTCCAAGGGTTGTCGGTGCGTGGAACTGGACTGTTGGGACGGCCCCAACATGGAGCCAGTGATCTACCATGGTTATACCTTCACCTCCAAGGTCCTCTTCTGTGATGTCATCAAGGCCATCAAGAACTATGCCTTTAAGGTGAGAGGGATAAGGATGAGAGGGAGGAGGAGGAGGAGGAGGATGAGGAGGAGGAAGGGCGCTGACTTTCTGAGTCCATACTGAGCCAGCCCTCTGGGCTGGGGTGAGGCCTGCTCCATGAGGACATCATAGGCAGTCTAGGTTGGCTTCCTGGAAGAGTTGGCCATGCATGACTCTCTCCCTCAGGCGTCACCATACCCAGTGATCATCTCCTTGGAGAATCATTGTAGTGTGGAGCAGCAGAGAGTCATGGCCCACCACCTCCGCACCATCCTGGGGGACTTACTGCTTGACAGACCCATGGACAACATGGTGACAAACTTCCCTTCCCCTGAGGTGAGCCCTGGGGAGCAGAGCAAAGAGGCCTTTCCACCCTGGCTAAGGGATTCCTGGAGGGAGGGGGAGGAGGAGGCGGGGAGGGGGAGGGGGAGGAGGGGGAGGAGGAGAGCTCTTATGACTTGCACTTCTTTCACATTTCTCTCACAACCTGAGGTAGCAGAAAGGGCTCTTATCCCCATTTTAAACACGAGGAGCTGAGGCTTTAGGGACATCAAGTGACTGACCCAAGCTAGTAAGCAGCTGCGCCAGCATTCAAACGCAGGTCTCCTCTGACTCGAAGCCCAGGGCTTTCTCTATTATCCTCCTCACTGGAAATCGTTCTGACTCTGGAGGTGGGGATAGGGAGCCCGGGCAGACATGCCAGCTGACTTGGCACAGTTCTGAGCTCCCAGGCCATGGCAAAGGGGGAAGGGCCCCCTATGGTGAAGCTCTAGGAACCCGAGATGTGAGTGAGGCAGGCCCCTCGCTTTGCTCAGTGGGGCCCATGGGCCGAAATCATCATTAGAGCTCTCGAGACTTGTTTGGCTTTAAGGTTTCCAGCGCACTTTGCACACACGGGGGCAGGTGATCCTCACAATAACCCTGTGAGGCAGCTACTGTTGTGATCCCTAGTTCACACAGTAAGAAATTGAGGCTCTGAGAGAAGTGACTTCCCTAGGGTCATGCAGCCAGTGAACTTCTGAAGTGGGATTCACACCCAGGTCTTGCTGACGCCAGCATCCTCACTCCATCTGCCGCATTCCCTCTGCATCGTTGATGGGAGCACGGTGCCTCCAGCGGGGAGACACCCCCCCATAGGCTAAGCAACGGGGTTCAGAGGGGTGCAGCCAGGCTATGGGGTGGGATTGCTCATTTTTAGATCCCAGGCTGGAGAGGACGCTGGAAGTTCACCTCATCCTCCCTTTCCCCAAGCCCTGGGATAACTGTAGCAGAAAGGGTAGCCAGACACAAGTGGGTGGGGATGGTCTCTGACCTCGCCAGTGTGATAGGGGTGAACTTGGGCAAAACCTGAGCCCCCATATTTCATCCCCAGCAACTAAAGAAGAAGATTTTGGTGAAGGGGAAGAAGCTGGGGGGCCTGCTGGCCAGCCTGGGGGCCTCAGAGGCCACTGACGTCTCGGATGAGGACGAAGCTGCCGAGATGGAGGACGAGGCCGTGAAGATGGAAGTGAAGCAGAAGCTTGCTGTAGGGAGCCCTGGGGAGGCGAGAGACAGTGGGCACTGTGTCTCTGGCTCTGTCTGTCTGTCTGTCTGTCTCGGAGTCTCTGCGCTCCCCCTCCCTGGGACCCAGCTCAAGAGTTGTGACTGGTTATGGGAAGGAGAACCAGAAGAGTGTGTGTGTGTGTGTGTGTGTGTGTGTGTGTGTGTGTGTATGTGTGTGTACGTGTGTGTGTACATGTGTGTCGACATGCATGCCCATCTGTGTGTGCACATGTATGAGGTAATTAGGGCGGGTCATTGTGAAGGGCCGCTGTCCAGCCGTTCCCTTGTTTTCTGGGGACCGTCTCCATTCTGCGGCTCCCATTCTGTCTCTCCTATCTCGTGTGACTCTTCTGTGTGTCCCTTTCTCCTCGGGTGTCTCTTGCCCTGTGTCGCCCTGTCTCTTGGTGCGTGTGTGTGGGCTTTTGAGCCTGTCCGCCCCTTTTGTTTTCAATCTCTTTGCTTTTCCTCCTATCTCTGACTCTCGACCAGGCCCTGAGTCTCTCTAGCTCTCTGTTGAGTCAGTCTGTCTCTTTGGCCTTGCTTTGTACATGTGCCTGGGTCCGTCCGTCCCTGTTCTTAGTCGCTCTCTCTCCTGTCTCCATGTTCCCCTCCGTCTGTCTGTCCATTTCTCTGGGTTTCTTCATCCTTTCTGAGTCTCCCTTGCTCGTCCCCCCTCCCAGAATGACAAGCTCAAGTTGGCCAAGGAGCTGTCCGACTTGGTCGTTTACTGCAAAAGCGTTCACTTCAGTGGCTTCCAGGACCCGGCCTTCTACGAGATGTCCTCTTTCACAGAGAACCGAGCTCTCAAACTGGCCCAGGAATCAGGTACTTAGCCATGCACCAGCATCCCACTGAGAAACATCCTTGAGCCCCTCACAGGCCTTCATGCTTCAGGGAGACTTTGGGTTGGAGAACCCCAAAGTGAGAACTGTCCAAACTGTGTCTGAGCCTTTCTTTCCTCCCTGAGAAGAAAAGGATTCCCCTAGGCAGACCTTGCTCCCAGGACCCATGGCTTGGTGCTCCTGGGGATGCAGGCTGGCTAGTTCTGGAAGGGAAGGTGGGTGAGGCTGTCGGCCTTGTAGCTCACATTGCGGGGGCGAGGGCTAGTTTCCCAACAGGTTAGTAGACCGGCCATCGTTCACTACATATTGTAGGTGGCCCCAATCTTTCCTAAAGTGGGCCCGTGGGACCTTTGCCTGCCAGGATGCAGAGATCCCCTAGTTCTGGTAAGAAGACTCCTCGTCCTCTGTAGGCGAGAGTACACTGGAATGGGAGGCAGAGACCCTCTCCTAGAGCACCCCTTCTTCCATTTATTAGCTAGATGATTATGAGTAAGTCCAATGATCAAATGAATTAACATCTACGAGGTGTTTTGGAAACACTTGATGCTCTATAAATGCTAACTATCATTGTCGTTATTAATCATGTCACTTCTCCGGGCCTCAGTTTCCTTGCCTGTAAAATGGGTGTCTTAATACCTGGAATACCTTTGACAGAACGTCACACAATGCTCGAATGAGATGGTGTGTGTGAAGCACTTTGTAAACCTTTGTGAGGCTCTGGAGAAACACCACCTGCAATTGAAGTCATTTAGACCTCCTTGCAGATGAGAGGGATTCCCCCCGCACAATACCGTGTCATTGAGGATAGTCGAGCTTGGCTGTGATTTACGGGGCAATGTCTGATTTCACAGACTTACAGACTCTTAGAGCAAGAAGCGGTGGCAGAGGCATCTACTCCAGCCTACCTTGTCCAGAGGAGGACCCTAGGGCCAGCACGGGGGAGGGGCTTGCTCAGGGTCCCACAGCGGAGAAGTGGCAGAGCCCCCCAGGCGATTGGCTCTTGAGTCGGAAGGGCCTCTGAGCTCAGGGAGGTCCTCCGCTTTCCCTTCTGAGTTCAGTCTGCCTCAGACTTATGGGACCCGGCTAGGTCTTTCCCGAGCTCTTGCCACATGGGGTAGGGAGACGGAGTGAGGGCAATGGGAGCAGGCGGGCATGACAGCCTGGACTTCAGTGACCACCAGAGATAAGCCACAGTCTGGCTGGTTGAAAGGGGACCATCAGCCAGGCCCAGGAACGAGGCAGACAGCAAGGGGGCTGGAAAGCTGGTGTGTGTCTAGTGGGGTTGGAGGTCACTACTGGGCGGCAGCCTCTGGCTACCCAGCTGTCTTTTCCCATTCTGGGGCCAGAGGGAGGGCTTGGGCTATTATTGGTGTGGAAGCAGCAAGGCCCTATCTCCTGGTAGGAGCAGAGGTGCTCCGGGGATGGGTGTGAGGAAGGGTCTCTGCTCCAAACCAGGAAACAACTTCATCCGTCATAACATCAGGCATCTGAGCAGGATCTATCCTGCTGGCTGGAGAACAGACTCTTCCAATTACAACCCTGTGGACATGTGGAACGCTGGCTGCCAGATCGGTGAGGGGAAGGGGCTGGCCTGGAGCTGAGGCCGTCCAGCTGCCACGGGGGAGCTGGCCACTCCAGAGCCATGAGGGGAGGGGAGGGCCCCTGGGAGCTGGGCCGTGCCACTGATTTAGAGGAACCACACTGAATCAGGCTGTTGTCCTGTAGCAAGAGAAAGTTCATTGGGTTGGACGGGCCGCACGGGGCCCAGAAATACCACCCTCTGCACTGTCCCCAGACACAGGCCTGTAGCTCAGGCTAGTTTATGTTCTCAGAGTGAAGGACTGAAGCCTGGAGTGAAAACTCCCTTCTGTTAGCTCATGTGTGCTCATCCCTTGAGTGTTCAGATGCGCCAAGCCCTGCATTGGTTCTGGACAGACAGAGGTCGAAGGTAACAGTCCTGCCCTCGAGGAGTTTACCTTCTCCTGGAGTACCGACCCAACACAGACAGCAAAAAGTAAACACCAGGTCACTGGGGAAGTCTTTCCTGGTCCCCTACGCGGCAGGAGCTGAGCTGAGCCCTGGAGGCACCCCACGGAGCTGGTCATCCTTCCTATTTCCCAAAGGGACAAGAAGGGAGGTGCAGAGCGGCAAGGATGATAACTGGGTGGGGGGGGGCACCTGAGATGCTCTTGTCAGACCCTCCCTCCCCCACTTTACAGGTCTCATGATACCAGCCAGCATTTAGCATTTGCCAGTCACTCACGTTAGCCCCTTTGACGCTCACCACAACCCTGGGAGGCAGGTGTTATTATTTTCCCCCTTTTTACAGATGAGGAAACTGAGGCAGACAGGGTAAGTGGCTTGAGCAGGTGGGGTCTGGGTACAAGCCCATGCCCTCTGACTCCAGGTGTCCCTGAGCTCCCTCTCATTCCTCCCCGTCAGGATCTCCTTGAGGGCCCAGAGTCTGTGATCAGCTGAGAGGGTGCTGAATTGGTGAGCCCAAGCCAGGCCACTGTGTTCCAGGGCCTGAGGCCTGCTGCCAACTCTGATATTTTCTTGTTCAGTGACCTTGGGCAGCTACTTTCCTTTTCTGGACCTGAGCTTCCTCTGTAAAATCATGGGGTCAGATCAAGTGAAGTCTAAGGTCCTTCAGGCTCTGTGAGTCAGGGAGTCTGTCCCCAGGCATCTGGCACCTTTCTTATGGTGGCCTTTGCCCCCCCTTTCTAGTGGCCTTGAACTTCCAGACACCAGGGATGGAGATGGACCTGTACCAAGGCCGTTTCCAGGACAATGGGTTCTCTGGCTATGTTCTGAAGCCTGCATTCCTTCGGGACCCCGACTCCAACTTCAACCCCCGGGCTGTGGGCGAGGGGCCGTGGTGCAACCGGCAGAGACTTCGAGTCCGGGTAAGGGGGATGTGTGAGGCGCGTGGCCTAGGGACTGCCCTGCCTGTCCCTGCCCCATCCTCCTGAGGGCCCTTTCCCCCAGGCCAGGCCCCTGGCCTTGGCCTTTCTCCCCCTTCCCCTACTTCTGGCCCGACTACCACCAGCCTCTCTGGAGTGGCTCTGACCAAGTTTCCTGTCCTTCTCACCCCTCCGCGCTCTCGGCACTTGTGGCCCTCTTCTCCATCATCCCCAAGTGGTCTTAGTCTAGCATCCCTGACCCTCCTTTCCTCCAGGTCATCTCTGGGCAGCAGCTGCCCAAAGTGAATAAGAATCAAAATTCAATTGTGGACCCCAAGGTGACAGTGGAGATTCACGGGGTTACCCGGGATAATGACAGAAGGGAGACTGCCGTGATAAGCAACAATGGTGAGTACAGGCTCGGCAGGGACGTGGAAAGCTGGCTGAGGTGGTAGCACCCCCAAGGTCTGTGCCAGGGCATCCTGTGGGGCCTAGTGCCAGGTGGGCCAGCGCCCCTAGGACCCGGTGCCAGGTGGGCCGGCGCCCTTAGGACCAGGTGCTGGGTGGGCCGGCGCCCCTAGGGCCTGGTGCTGGGGGGGCTGGTGCCCTAGGACCTTGCTGACAAAAATTCAAATGAAGAGAGACCAGGAGAAAGGAGGGGCAAGTCTCTTGGGGCTCTGCCCTCCTCAGGCCTCCTCTGGGGCAATGGACTCAGCTCAGGGCACCATGGGTTTAGAAGCACTAAGCTGGAGAGCTTCCAGGGGAGGGCCAGCTGACCAAGAGGGCAAAGGGCTTGGTGGTAATGCTGTGCGCTCCTGGGGTGAAGAAGCTGGCAGTGCTTGGGCAGGAGAGGAGAAGACTCCAGGGGCACAGAAGGGCCTGTTCAGCTAGACAGCCACAGTCACCCAGACTCAGTGCTGGGAGGGCCAGACTCGGTTGCTCCTCTGGCCTGGCTGCAGGCTTCGGGCATCCACAAGGTGGGATCACATTATCGCGCCTGCGCCTGCGTCGGGGCTGCTGGGAGGGTCCCACAAGACGATGCCTGTAAAGGCCTCTACTTCCCCAGCTGTCGCTGTTCAGACAAGGCCCCTGCCCTCGAGCAGGTCACGGTGTGGGCACTGTGGCTGTTACAGTAATCTTGGAGTGAAGGGATGAGTGCTTAAAACCTCCCTCTGGATCCAAGCCCCCAAACCCAGTTTTGTAATGTTTCATTATGACCCCATGAGAAGTGCTCCAGCCGGCAATGTGCCCTTCTACATATGGGGAAACTGAGGCTCAGACAGATCAATGACTCAGGCCACACAGCCAGGACGTGTCCTTGCAGACACGGGGGCAGGGGGCAGATGGGATGCTGGAGGAAGGACGGAATGACCCCTTCTCTCCCTTTCCCTACGTCCCCCTCACCCCATGCTCTCCCGTGGTCCTCTGCAGGCTTCAACCCAATGTGGGACGTGGAGTTCAAGTTTGAGGTGGACGTCCCTGAGCTTGCCCTGGTCAGGTTTGTGGTGGAAGATTACGATTCATCTTCCAAGAACGACTTCGTGGGCCAATGTACCATCCCCTTCTTCAGCCTCAAGAAAGGTGAGGGCCTGCAGCCTCAAAGTCCCCGGGCCCAAGTACTCACGGTCACAAGGACTGGCGGCGGGTGGCCCCCCGCTTCTGGGACCTCATCCCCAGATCACTGCCTCCCAAGGTCTCCCCTGCCCTAGGTTTGCCCTCACACAAGTTCCCTCCCCTGTGGCCCGCTCCCCATTCCCTTCCCCTGTACCCCTCCCTCCAGGTTCCCTTCCCCAAATTCTCCCCTGAGTTTCTCCTCTTAGCCTCCCCCTCCCCCTCCCCCAATCTGTTCTACCAGGTTCCTCCTCCCCGGGGATCAGGCCCTTCTCTCATACACCTTCAGACACTCTGTGGACTTAGGCTCTTTTCACTACTACCATCATGCACCTGGGCAGCTTCTGTTCAACCATCTACACTCACACAGGCCATAAGATCAGTGGCAGAACTGAGAGGTGCCTTAGACGCCATCCACACCAACCCCCTCGACAATTTTGTGGTTGGAGAAACTGAGGCAGGCCAGAGAAGGGAAGGGAGCTATCCAAGGTCACATGGGCAGTACATGGAAGAATTCAAACCTGCTACCCAGACTCTCAATTCAGCCATTATTAAGCACCTACTAAGTTCCTGGGACTTTGCTCTAGGTCGAAGGAACTCACAATTTAATGGGGGAGAGAGCAAACAAATGGGCGGACAGCTACGTAGGGGATGGACAGGGAAGGATCAGCAGTGGGAGAGCGCTGGAATGAGTGACTGGGGGAGGGGCGTGCCAGTCTTTCCCAAATGAGTAGCTTCAGAGTTAGACCTGTGGTCAGTGACATCTGGAGTCCTTCCCTCCTTCCTTCCTTCCCTCCCTCCCTCTCTCATTCCATCTCTCCTTCCTTCCCTCCCTCCCTCTCTCCTTCCTTTCCTCCCTCCTTCCTTTCCTCCTTTCCTCCCTCCCTCCTTCCCTTCCTCATTCCATTACTCGTCCTTTTCCCCAATGTCTTCTACCTCTCCTTTCTTCCGTCCGTCTCTTCCTTTCTTTCTCATTCTGTCTCTGCCTCTCTGTTCTCTCTGTCTGTGTGACTGTGTCTTTCTCTGCTCCTCTGACGCTTGTCTTTCTTTCTCTCTGTGCCCTGACTCTCTCCAGGTTACCGCCACATCCACCTCCTGTCCAAGAACGGGGACCAGTATCCGTCAGCCACGCTGTTTGTGAAGATTAACACGGAGGACCATGGGCGGAGGGTCCAGGACGGCCTCCCTGCCGGGGAGTGACCAGAGGCTGTGACTTGCAAGAAACCAGCGGCCCTTTGCCCACTTGGAGCCCTGCCAGGTCTTCCAGCTATGGGGCCCTGGGCCATCTTGGGACCAATGAGAAGGGAAAGGTGCCCCGCTAGGCCCTGACAATGATTGGAAGGGCCCTGAGCTGGGGAATTGGACCCTGGGGAGGCCTCTCAGGCTACCCAGCGGGAATCACTGCTGTGGATAAGCCTGGGTGACGTCCCCTCCTCCCACTTCTGAGCTGAAGGGGCCCAAAGGACCTGAGAGTGCAGAGTCCTTCATGTCCCAGACCGACCCTGTGCGCCCTCACTCAGACGGACTGACTGACTCCTCCCAGAAGGCCTCCAGATGCGTCTCCAGCCACCCCTTGGGCGCTGCCTCCAGGGGATCTGGGCCTGGCAGACTGAGGAGGTCCCCTGGGCTCCGCGGACCTCCGCGGTCGGTCACGAGTTCTATCTGGTCAATTCCAGTAGAGTCGAGTTACACTACAGCTGTCCTGCGCTTGGACGCCGCCTTTGGAGTTTAATAAAGTTCGAGTGCCCTCATGCTCCAGTGAACAGAACCTCTTCCCCTTACTTCAGACATCTAGCTTCATCCTGTCAGAACTGGGCTCTGGGAATCTCATCCCTGGTGCCCCAGGCCTCCCTTCAAGGCGCCCTTGACTGGGGGGTGGTCCTGGAAATTCGTGGGATGGGACATGGAGTCTCTAGTCCCATCTCTACCATTGACTCCACTGGCCAAGGAAACAGGGAAAGCCTGGATAACTGAGATTCATGGATAATCCAACCCCCTCCCCCAAGCCCCAGCCGTGTCCCCTCCAGCTCATCGTGGAGGTTCCACCCTGTGTTGGGAGAGCCTGGAGGAAACTGAGGAAAATGAGGAGTTTAGAGGCCCTCTGCAAAGCCTAGAAGGAATGACTGTGCATGGTGACCCCCCCTCCCCAGCATCTCCCTACGCGGCCTCCTCACAGACAGATGTCCAGTCACTTCCAAGGTCTCTCCAAAGCCGGGCCGTTGTCAAACACTGTAGGGAGGCAGGCAGAGCCCCGGACCTCAAATGGGAGACTCAAAAGTGTCCATGGCCGGGCCCATCCCCTATCTGAGCTTCAGTCTCCTCATCTGTACAGTGAGGCCCCTGGACCAGAGAAGAGCAGCTCACATCGCCAGAGCTCTCTTGGGCACTGCAGAGTACTTTGCTGGACACTGCATTATGGGATCCTCAAGACAGAGGAGGTGCATGCCATTATGCCTATTTCACAGATGAGGAAACTGAGGCCTGGAGAGGAGGAGTAGATCCCTGAGGCTTCCACAGCTAGCCAGTGTCTGAGGTGGGATTCAGACCCAGCTCACCCTGACTCCAAGCTCTGCTCACTAGCTGCTATACCACACTGCCCTTCCATGTCTGACCTTCCAGGACTCTAGGGTTTGACTTCTGAGTCTCCACTCCCCTGCCCCTGAGGGAGCCCAGTCTGTCCTCTACCCCATTTCGCCCTCTCATGATGGCAGTGAAAAAATGGGTGAGCAGGAGTGTGCAGACCCACTCCATTCCCCATGCTGGATGAGGTTTGTGCCTTCTGAGCCTGGCATGTCTCCAGGCTGCGCCTTTCCCCTTCCTCCCAAAAGCCTGCCTGGTGCCCCTCACACAGTCTTCCCATTAAGGCCGACAGAGAGGGCTTTGTGGCATTCAGAGAGATGAAGGCAAGCCTTTATTGTCAGACCCTGGGGCACCGGGAGCGGGCAGCACAGGTCACTTGGTCCTGGCTCGGCTGAGGGCACCCCAAGGGCGTGGCTGATCACCCTCGTCCTCAGCTCAGATCTCCAGGGAGGAGCAGCATCCCCATGGGCCCCCAGTCTGCTGGGACAGGGAGTTCTTGAGGAGTGGGAGAGGGCAGGGGCTTGGGCATCTGGCCAGCAGCTTCAGGGTTGCCCGGCCCAGGGCTGGGGGGCAGAGAACTTGGGAGTGCAGGCGTGCAGGGGAGCTCTCTGGCAGGCCCCTCAAAACAAGCCGTGATGCTTCTTCTCACTCTGCTGTTTCCACTTGGCCATCTGGTAGAACTGCTCCTTGGACTTGCCAAAGATGTCTTGGAAATCAGCATCTGAAAGATAGTACTGGGGGAGGGGCGAGAAGGGTGCCCAGGAGGGTGAGTGTGGGCTCAGCTGCCTGCAAGAGGGACCATCCAGAGGGCAGCCCCAGAGACTCAGTCCAGCCCTCCACTGGCCAAGCCTGTGCGTCCTCTAGTCTAGGCCAGCTCTGCCCAGACCAACATTCCCAGAGCACAGCCCTGACCCCTCCACCACAAGCCACTGGCCAGAATGCCAGCGCCTCAAGGCCTCTTGACCTTTTCAGTCCTTTCAGGAGCTATAGTCGACCTGACCATCTCCCACCTCTTTGTCTTTTCCAGGCTGTCCCCCAGGCCTGCAGAGCACCCTCTCCTCACCTTGACCTCAAAGTTCAGCTTAAACTCCTTCAGCATGAGACCTTTCCTCTCCCTCCCCTACTTCATAAAATCCCTTTGTATGTGCTCTGGACGTGCCCAAGTTGAATGCCAGTTCTTCAAGGGAAGGCTATTTGTTGTCTCTGTAACCCCAGAGCACACAGTAGGCACTTGACAGAAGTCCCCCTGCCCAGGGCCCTGATTCTACTAATGGAACTTCACTGGGGGAGGGGGTCCCTGATGCTGCTACTGCTGCCTGGGCCTTCCTGGGCCCTCAGCTGCTTAGTAGTCAGGGGAGGGTTCCCACCTAAGGTCTGTGAGGTTAGGGGTGGGAAAAGGTGGAGATCAGACCCCCTGGGCCTTGGACCTGCCTGACTGGTGCCAAGCCTATGCCTTGAAGCCATTCTGCCTTCCCCCTCACCCGCTGGGCTGGCTCCTGGCTTTAGTGAATGTTTCTCCACCCCCAGCTCCACTCCATGACAATGCTGGGAGGCGGGTCTTGTATATAGCACTCTCCTCATTTTACAACTGGGGTAAACTGAGGCTCCAAGAGGGACTTGCCCAAAGCCACACAGACAAGTGAGGAGCCAAGTGTTCTGAGCGCCAGGACATTAGATAACATTGCCAAAAACACAG